CCTAATATTTAATAGTTTTAAAAATACTAAAAGCTTATTGAACTAATACTCTTCAGAGTTCTTTTTATTTAATAGTAGCTGTCTGGGCTGTAAAACTGGATATTCTTTCACTTCAAAAAAATTAAGAAAAACTCTGACTTTGAGTTTAATTTAAAGGAGTAATGATTTCCAAAATTTTCTTTGAGAAGGTATGTTAATACGCATATGAAGACACTGATCACTCAGGTTTAATACCCTTCATTTAGAAGACTTTTTTTTTTCACTTAGTGTGTATCTGACAACCCGTTAACAGGTGAGTGCCATTCCACTGGGAAAATAACATTCCAAAAAATCTGTGACACCAACAGAAAAACCACATCATCTATGATTATTTCTTAAATAAAACTCTTAGAGTTAAATTAATTTGATGTGTTTAAAAAATAAAAATAATACATACCAGCAGCTTAAACCAAAAATTAAAAATTTTTAAAAAGGAACTCACTGGTGGTTCCAAATAAAAATCATGAAAACATGAAATCATTTTGCTCACAACAGAAAGTTCAAAATAAACGTGAGGAATTCTTTAAGAATCTTGTACCACTGGCTTCGAATCTCCCGAAGCCTGACTGCTTTCCGTGAAAATGCCTGAAGCAGAATCACAGGGATGGCGGTCTTAGGACTGGGCACTGGGGTTCACCAGGACAGAATCACTAGATAGTCCAGAAAGGAAACCCTGTGTAGGGGAAGCTTCTTTTCTTTTAAGAGACCAATATGAGCCACATTTACAAATACAACGTTTTAACTCTCTACATGTAGGAAGCCAACCTGCTCCTTTTTGATCTTCTTCTTTGGCACAACCTCGGTGGATTTTTCTGATTCAGAACGAGTTCTAATTGATCTTCTTTGTTGCTTCTTTTCTGCTGAGCCTAGAAGATAATTTAAACAAACAAAAACTCATTTGATGGGGTAGCTGGTGATCGCTGGTCCTAGTGCCCCTACTTACAAGTCTGAAACAAAAGGGGAATGTAAAAACAAGACAACTCATTTGAGGATGCCTGACATTTAAGTAAGTAAGATTTGACCAAATCCCCTCATTACTTTTGGTCTTTTAATTATAAATCATTAAAAAAAACTATTAAACACTTGGGAGTACATAAAAAAATTGTACAGATCAAATTGTAAAGGCTGATGGGTTGAGACTAGGACATAAAGATGAAGCCATACAGATGAAGAAGGATTGATTTTTTTTAAATTATAAAGTCAAACTGAAATAGCAGAGACACGGTTTAGTTTTAAAGCAGATAAACACATTTAGGTAACTATAACTGAAGGGATTGAGGCAATGGTTGAAAATGATTTTATTCTCAGTTCACATTGGGAATTAATGGTTCAAAATTCAATCAGGACTACATATTTTGCATTTTAACAGATCAATTAATTCTACATGTAAAATGCTTACAGTGCTGGGTGCACTTATAGAAGTTTTGCTGTTGTTGTGTTATTAACAACCCAAAAGTAAAAAAATAGAAAAGGCACAAAAATATGACCAAAACCGTAATTTGACTGTCAAGGGACTTCATCCACTTTAGAAATAATTACTCATGGAAAACTAGTTGAAACACATCATCAAGCTTTTTAATGTTAAATGGTGGAAAAAAAGAAAGTATGAAGATTTTTAAACAGTAAAAATTTTTGACAGTAAACAGAAAACTCACATGGACCCCATCTAGGAAAGGATAAAACTTGCACCAAAGGCCACAACGTGAAAGAATACTGTCAGGAATGATTTCATTCTGTGGCCCTGAGGAGGAGTGACACCTTCAGTGCAGCTGTTTCCAGCTTTCCAGCGCCTAGACCACCTAAATGGTCCTTCCTAGACAAAACCCCCCTTGCAGAAGCTACCTCCATAAAGCCTTCCTTCCACATCCCCTTGTGTATTTTCTGGTTTCACTGTTCTTGTCTATGTGTAAATGGCTTCCCTCATGTTTGTTCAAAGCCAAAACAAAGGAGACTCCCAGTACTTTTGCAGAAGGGGGTAAGGAGTAGGTTGTTTAATAATAATGTACTGTTTCTGAGCTGTGGTTAATTAATTTCCAGCAGAGAAGTCACAAAACGAAGGTGTCCTTTATTCTCACACTAATAAAAATTTACTAAGGCAACAGACCTCCCACCCTCAGACACCTGTGTATTCCAGACAGTCATATTTTAGTATAGTCATCAATATTCAAGTACCTATAAGGAAAGAGGAAAATGAAAACATAACTGCTTAAAACAAACAAAAAACAAACTTGACTTGTTTTGAGGATGAGACAATGTAACTGTTCCATCAAGCACAAATGATATCTGATCTGCTAAAGAAGTTAAGGCAATGTGACTCCTTAAAATTATTCTGAAAACTACCCAAAGAACACATAAATTCTACTACATTTGAAACCACTGAAAAGTATTGTGTTACGTTCTAAGAGAGGGGAAGTGAGCATCTCTGGATTCGGAAACTAGTTTAGAAATCTGGCATAAATGCAAATACAATTCTTCAAACCACAGAAATGGAGCAGTGCCACACACTTCCTGTAGTCCCTTAAATGCACTGAGAAGGCTCAAGAACTCTCCCTAAGTAGTTAACACCCGTGAAGACGATGGTGCAATTGGTTTCTGAAGGGAGATCAGGTCTCTCTTCTGAATTTTCAGCTACTTAAGTTATTTTCACAAGGAGCAAAATGGTCATTTAAAAAGACAAAATATGCTTGTCAACTACAACTAGTAACCAAACTTAAACTGAGGTTAAAGCTTTAGAGCACTCGTTCCTGAACTGAGGCCCCAACATTAATTTACAGTCTAATTACATGTGCCTGCCTAAGGAAGAAACTGGGCATTTTCCAGATATAAGAATTATAACCTTTTGCTTTCACTTAAAAAAAAGAAAAAGGAAAAGAAGAAAATTCATAGCAGAACTTATATCTTGAAATGCAAAGACAAACATAAAAATAAAATGCTCAGGAGCTGAGTGGAAGAAAAAAACAAGCTCCATTAAAAGTAAAGGTATAATATTTAAGAGCAATCTAACATTATGCGAGGAATTTCCTTTCTCCCTAGCTGGAAGAATAGAGACGTTTAAATAATGATCCTCCTAGTCTCACACTTACAGTCAGACAAATTACTAACAGCTTGGGGTAAAGAAAGATGACAAAACTGATAGACCTAACTATGGAGAGCTGAGGCCAAAAGATCCTTTCAGTAGTCAGGGAAGGGAGCAAACATTTTCAATTACAGCTAATTAATGCAAAGTCTTCTAATTCATTATTCACTGCTTCAACATTGTAACTTCACTTCTCATGTAGTATTCTGAAATGATACAAGTCAAATCTGGTTCTGGACTTTGCTACTCCCTCCTTATTAAAAAAAATTTTTTTAACGTGTTGTGAGAATCTTACTTATTTTGGGAGGGGGAGGTAATTAAGTTTACTCATTCATTTATTTTAATGGAGGTACTGGGGATTGCACCCAGGCCCTTGTGCATGCTGAGCTCCACCCTCTGCTCTCCCTCCTTACTTTAATGGAGCTTCCTTTTCCAGCTCACTTTATGATCAAGGCATTCTGCTTAATGTGCCCTGTCCAACAGATGCCCCATGTCCTCTGCCACCACCTCTGACGGTCTTGCAGCCCGCAACGCTTTTTTTTTTTTTAAGAAAGCTAGCCCAAGTTCTTTCCTGAATAATGACTGTTTTCATTTAGCTTTTATAATAATAAGAATTTTACTCAAAATTTCCCTTAAAAAATATCTACCCCTTAGCGCCACTCAGTTACAGGTTTGGCTGACTTACTACTGATTCAAGATTACCACCTCAGGTCTTAAGATTTTAATCCTTCTAGGAAATACATACATTTGGTCACTTCTTAGATTCCAAAAAGCCTTTTTAAAGAACAAAGTGAAACACACTCCTTTCTCCTAAGATTTCGAATGACCAAGCTAGGTGATATCTCTCTTCTTGATGGCTGTGTGCCACAGTAACACTGTCATGTAAAGCCAAACCCTCCACTCAGTAGAGCTGTAAGGTCCTTGGCAAGTCAGTCTCTTCATAAAGATGACTTTTACCTCTTCCAAAGGCACAGTCTTACTGAATACAGGCATTTCTCCTTTAAGCAAGGATAATTTAGCTTGATTACAATTCATGGTATCTGTTAAGCAGGGAAGATTATAAAAGGAGTTAGGCCCAGGGCCCTTCAGCCCCTAACACAGCACACCTCAGAACAACGGAAAGAGCGTGGACATCCACTAACCTGCGACCGACAGTGGGTAAAGGAGGAAACGGCAAGGGTGTTAGCAGTGCTGGAGAAGTAAAGGTGTCATTCTCATGAGAGAGGTTGTCAGATGGTACATCTACTCACATATGCACCGATTTTACAACTATATTCTTTTCACTATAGAACCCTCCTATTATTGACATTCCTGTAGGAAAAATAACTGTTATTGTTACTATGAATAAAGTTCTCTAGCTCCTAAACCATCCTTTCCCATTGAAATCATTGCTTTTATAGTTTGATTTTTTAAATATAATTCGATTTCGATAACTAAAGGTTTCTTAGGAAGACAGCTGCCATGTGACAGCAGAACAGAACCAAGGCCTCTCAAGCGGATCGAGGTCCTCTTCTGTCGCACCCACCTGCAGGACCAGACGCTGCTTCCGGAGATGACATACTCTGAGTTGCCTTTTCATTTCTCTGGTTTGGTGTAGAAATTATAAGTCTGTCTTGTCCCCTGACACTTATTTCCGTTTTGTTACCAATTCCCTTCAAAATAAGCCAAATTAAAAAATAGGTGATTACCAGGTAAATGACATCATTGGCTTATAAAGACAGCTTAAGATGATCATAATGTGCTTGAATTTTATAGGGTCTTTGACTGCAGTCAATGTATTATCTTAGCCATTATCAGAACAATTTTAATTACGTCATCAGGATGTATTCTAAAATGTACAGTAAGATTATGCGGGGGAAAAAAACTATTTGCTAAATCCAGATGATGAATATCACTAAAAAATGAACCTGTATCACCGAATCTTCTGCCAAAACCAAAATATTTTCTGGTCTGAACAGTCTCTCCCTTTACCCACATCACAGTAGAGAACTCTAGCCATTTTCACTTGGTAAAGTACCCACTACACATAAAAATGTCAACACGTCTTTGAAAGAGAAGGAAATCCTTAGACACAGAAGTATGCCATTCATGGTGACCAAAATGTGCACCCAATAAGCAGTTCGGAGCAGACAGAAGGCAATTACAGTTCTGTCTCCTTTTAGGTATTTTTAATGCAATGAAATAAAGGAGTGATTTATAAATATAGTATACATATTTTTAAAAGATTGGTTTTATCTCAGATTTCATTTACATATAGCACTCTTTGGAGGAGGGTGACAAAATTTGGCTTGTGCATCCAAAAGCAGATAAAAACCAGCTCCTAGAATGAAGCCAATTCGCAGTCAGAAAAGATGCAAAATACTCATTTGCTATTCAAAGCTACCAGCAGAACCAAGTGGAGACTTAATACAGGTCTTTCCAAGTAGCTTAGCCTTAATGAAATCAGCTGAACCTATAGGCAGAAACAGGTTAACAGAGGACCCTTACACTTTTCTTTAGGAAAATGTATCACTAATGAGGCATACCTATATTTAATTTTAATGTGCATATGAAAATGTTAGGAAGAAAGTGCAAAAGTCTTTTAAAGTAGCATACACCCATGAGGTGCCACTCAATTCAATTCACAAGCCCACAGTTGTGGTAAGGGCTGGGAGGGTAGTGAAGAGGTATATGGAATAAAAATTGCAACTGTTGTAAAACAGCTTTAAAGTCTTAAACCTAAAGTGTAAGTGCCCTAAATGGTCACCCTGGCTGGTGGAGGCATTCAGTCTGAAGAGGCTACTTTCACCCCATTACCCAAGCTATCGCCTCAGCTCATTGTTATAGAGCAAACACAGCTCTGCTATTTCTCCAACGTGCATCAGACACCCCAAGCCAACACGAGCCTAACAAAACTGCTGGTGCAACCAGATGGGCAGGTACAATGATCACGATGGTTACTTCAGATAACTGACAGAAATAATTTAGTAAGAAGCATGCTTTGCAACTAAGAAAAACTAACCATACAGACTAGAAACAGGCAAAGTGCCCAGTTTTTTTCCCATGACTTTAGGGAGCTGAGCTGAATTTTGGCTGCCCAGTTCAAGATTAATTTAGCACAGATGGGGATATTACAAAAGAGGGAAAAGAAGAAGAAAAACAAAGCCTTTTTGCCTATGTGTTTTTTGCCCCATCTTAAACAGAGTAAACTGTACGTTTCAAATGTAGTGGATGCAAAGGGTATTTAGATTACCACCTGGTGGTGTTTGGCGTTTTTTTAAATATCACGGCTGACTAGTTATTAAATACTCATGTTCCCCGAAAAAAAACCATGAGGAAAGGAGGTACCTTCGTTGAATAAACAAATTGATCGATAAATTTCCCATCTCCGGCAGCATTCTGAAGAGCAAACACTTGTTCAATTTTCACAACTGGAGACATGTTGCACTTTTGCAAGTCCAGGCTCCCTTTGTGCATTGTGATGGAAGCTGGTAAGGATTTCCTTGCTGCTGCCGTCTTCCAGGCTATCTTAACCGGAGGTGGGTCCTCCTCTTCAGCACTGGTGTGCCGCCTCTGGCTATGTCTCCGAATTTCAGTACTTGACAGGGAGGAGGCCGCCTCGCCTGCACTGGTCTGTTCTGGCTGAGTATTCAGCACTGATCTCGGTCTTCGGGGTTTTTTAACTTCGGCTTTGGAGGCAACATTCTTTTTTGCTTGGGATAAAGCCTCCTCAGGCTGTTTATCAATGTAGATAAAAGTATACTGTTCTATCCTTTCCTCCCGGGTCATTTTCAATGCTTTCTCTGCGTGGGCAATGCCGATGTCCCATTGAGCGCGTTCTCGCTGAGGCCGGGGTTTCCGAATCTGGAAGCAAAGACAAACGGGCATTGAGAACATGCATGGATCTAACAGGGACCTTTAAACCAACGTGTGTTTCCCACGTGATCTTCTCATCTTTCCAGGTATGTGTAAACAGCTTCAGGTTCCTCAGTCGAAGGAAGGAAATGTCCTGACTCCGAGACCCTGATGAATCAGTGGTACTGTGGATGACTGCAGGTCTGCTCTCTTGCACAGTAAACCCTTCTCTGTTGACCACGCTGTGGGACGCATCCCTCAAAGAGGCAGTCATCCTTCTCACACCAAACTCATAAAAAGCGAGCAATGATGATGGCAGGAGAAGAAAGATTACAGAAATGATCACGTCCAGTGGCCAATAAAACGCTACCATTAAAAATGCCACCCTAAAGCTCAGAGACCACAGCAAAGCTAAGTAAGCGGCGGAGAGCCAGGATGTGAAGCTGCGCGGCCAGCTGGAGCCAGAATGCACACGGGGCAGGGCGCAGGGACCGGGAGCCGGGAACGTGAAAGCTGACAAGACAGAAGACAGGAATGTTCGAGAGGAAAAATAAACCCGAGTCACAGTTTCCACAGGCCTGATCAGAAGACTCTGGATTGGCAAGACAGATGAGAACATTCAGAATAAAGGTATGCGAGATGACCAAAGCAATCAGGAACGATCCAGGGGGTTAGACAGAGGGAGCCAGAAATTAGCCGATGAACCCATGAGACAGAAGAGTGTACACTGAACACAGATATTTACATCTGCAGAACGTTAGGTCCTGATAAAATCAATCCAAATCCCCTGTGATAATATGTAGCTTCGTGTAAAACTATGACACGTTTCTGAATCACAAGAGGCCCACGCTAAATGAGCTAAGCTTAAAAATCTCAACTGACAGATTATCAAAATTCTAATATAGTCACCACCTCATCCAACATCTTTGGTTCCCTCTGTGGTGTGAACTTGGTTGAACCAGCTACTTAAGCTTTCTGTGCCTCAACTTTTTCCTCTGTAGAAACAGGAATAGTAATATCTACCTCATTGAAGTTGTTATGAAGAGTAAATGGATTAATACATGTATATAAATATAATGCTTAAAACAGTGCCTGTCTCACACAGAAGTGCTCACTAAATATTTAAAAAATTTAACTTTCATAAAACAATTTTGCTAATTAAGAATAAAGGGGAATTAGGAAAAGATGGTGAAGTGGGAAAAAGAATAAAACCCCCCCGGCAAAACCCACATTTCACTAGCATCCCCTGGACTATGTGCATTTGAAGTCAATTCAGACCAGACTCCAAGACTGTATTAAGCAGATGGTGAAAGTTTTCAATAGTACCGTAATACTGTTTACATGACAGATAAAATTTATTGACACATAATAAATTATTAAAATTGAACTTAGAGGAGTAAAACATATCACTCTAATTGTCTGAATTCAAGTTATGAAAAGCTCTGCTAAATTATTAAGCCCTTCAAGAAGCGCATTCGGCCGACGATGCCACCACGCTGTCGGTTACCTTCTGCTTCTCAGAGTGATTGCTGGCTTGTTTGGCTGCCTCAGCCAGCAGCTCTTCATACTGCTTGTGACCTTTGTACTCTCGTACCCGCTTCTCATGGACCCATGCCCTCTCTGGCTGGTTGCTAAAAAACTGGACGTGATATTCCCGGGCACCTGTAAGGAAAAATTCTCGTTAGCCATTTCAGAACAGAAGCATCTATGTGTACTTCACCAAAAACGTGGACCTACGCCAGGTTCCCTAGTATTACGCCTGTTAAAACTTGTACATCTTGGATTGTCCAAAGATATAATCCAACCCCTACCAATGGCACTAATAGTTACTGTAAAAATCACCCCCAAAATGATTAAAATTAGCAAGCAGATTTTAAGAGAAAAAATTAGGGATTCTGGTAATTATTAGATTTGTTACCTTGGTTACACTACTTTTACTGGCTTCAAACCTTTCTACAAACAAATCTGGGTATAAATAAATAATTTTTCCTTAAAAAAATATATAACGTATTTTCTTGGATTTTCAAAAGCCAAGTGCTGGTCAAATTACTTTTCCAGTGACATAAATGTGTGGCACAGACCTGGGGGAGGAGGAGAGGCCACTGAGACTATCCCAGGGATTCTGTGAGGTCAAAGCTGTCTTCACAATACTACCAAGATGTTGCCTTCTGCGCTTAACACTGCAAGAGCAATGGTGGATAAGACTGCTGGCATCTCAGCACAAATGAAGGCAATGAGTGTAGTATTTGTCACTGCCACACACCAACAGCTAATGAAAAACAAGACCAGTTTTACTTAGTGTCCTTGATGAAGCAGTAAACATTACTGATTTTACTAAATGTCTCTATGTGATGAAGTGGCAAGTGTGTATAAAGCACCCTCCACACTGAAGGCATGACGGTTGTCTTGGGGGAAAGAACTTTTGTGACTGCTGGAACTGCAAGATGAACTGGCCGTGTGGAACACCATTTTTACTGGAGAGAATGACTGACAGGAGAACTATGGATATTTGAATTTGAGAATTTGGCAAATATTTCCTCAAAAATGAGCAAGCAAGTTTGTCACTTCAAGGAAAACAACTGACAGTATTTGTTGCCAATAATAAAACTTGATCTTTCAAGAAAAATGAGAATACTAGAAAATGA